TTTTCCAACCGAGCGATTCTGTGATTCCTTCCCCACTTTCTGCTGACAGTTTATAGTCCTCTGCTATATATATATATGTAACAAAGGTCAATGGCTAGGAGTCTTAACATAGGAGGGCTACTAAGTTACCTTCTTTCAGGTTAAATTATTTTTATTTAACAAGTAAGTTTCTTCTAAAAATTCTCCATGCCCTGCTTAAATCAGCCCTGTATGCAACATACCAGGTACCTCAAACACAACCTTTTGCTTTCTCCCAGATCTGTTACTTCTAATCACCCTTGCTGGATTTGTTTACTATTGAGTGGATTTAATTGAAGACTCTTCCACAAAGAAAAATGGTTTGTAGATGAAACAGTTCTTAAGTCATTCAGGCAGCAATTTGTGTGAATATGCACATCTTTGTCTAGGTAATTACATTTGATATAACTTCGGGAAAATGTGAGGTGTAGCTATTAGTTCATAGAGCTCATGTTGAGCTTTGTTACCTTGGAGCAAAGATTGTGTGTCGCCAACCAACTTGTGCGCCTGCTGAAAGAACAGTAGGGAGGCAGCGAAAGCAGGGGCATAGTCTGCGGCTTAGTTCTGCAAGTTCCTTCAGGAGAAGTGACAGGATGTCTTTGTGGAGTCTGATTACCCCTTTGTGCATAACAGAGACTATGACGATGGCTATGTAGTAGTGATTTTGATCACTTTTATTTTATAGCACTGTCTTTAACTTTCAAAGCACAAGTAATCTGTGAGAATGCTTGTACAAGCAATCGGCTGATACTTTCCCTGTCCTCATCAGTACTGGAGAAACAGACTCTTGTGTAAGGGAGAACTTGGTTGTTTACATAGGAAGAATGTTTTATTTTTCCTGAGCACAAAAACAGACGCATAGCACATACATTAAATAATGCATTGTATTTAATAAGGAGCTGTACTCTACCATGTAGTACCACCACGTAATATGTAATCACTCATAAATACCAGGGAGTTAAAAATCCAGCAGTTTTAGGATCCAGGTGAAGCGGAAGGACCATCTGAAGGTTCACTTGTTGCTCAGGGATTTTTTTTTTAAGACAGAAACTTTCTGAGAAGAATACCAATCAGATCTGAGTCGATGGCAAAACTGCTGGCTTTGGTTTGCTCTCAGGACTAATGGATGGAGTTTCCAAGCAATGGAACCAATACATTTCTCAATACCAATGCAACACAGTTAAAACTATTTAGTAACTACAGAATAATCTATCATTTATAATCAATAGGTGGCTTCCTAAAGAGTTAAGTGCTTTCTAATCAAGGAATAAACAGAAGGGATTTTAAACAAGATTTTAAATAGGCTCCACAAAACTTCTAATTTTAATGGGCAATTTCCACCAGAGACCTTTAAAGCAATCAGCTGAGAAGCTGCCTCATCAACTCATCAACTGATGTAATATTTATACTTTGAATACCAGGAAAATTTTGGGAGGAACACTACGGGGTGTGGGGAAGCTGATTCATTATTAAGGTCAACATACAGTAGGTGGTACACACAACGTGGCAAGGGATGAGAGCATTATTAATATTGATTCAGGTGGGTTTGTGGAAATGCCACTTAACCAAATGTAACCGTACAGTTGCCACGTGCTTACCTTTTAGCTACTACATCACAGCCTCTGCCAAACAACAATTATTAACATAAAAATAATGAAACATGAATTCAGGCAATGGATTAAAATGTGCCTGGCCTGTAGATTTTGTTCTCATTAACAGGAACTTTTGCTGCAAGATGTGCATGGCGAACATCCGTTATAAGGCGTGTAGTAAGGTACCCAGTGTATTTGTCAAAATATGTATATATGTCAAAGTAAAGTTTATAGGTGATGAGATCTAGTGGCATAAGTCAAAATTGGCCCTGTGTAGTAGCCTTATAATATTTATCATCTCTTGTATCTACATTATGAAGACCCCAGAGCTAATATGCAGATGATAATTTCATGAAAGACACAGGTTTAAACTTCATTGTGTGAATTTCATGTTTTACCTCACACCGCGGTTGCTAAATCCTCTTTTCATCTTTAGTCCCGACAGACACCGGAGGGAGAATTTCTGCCGCTAGACCAGTGTGAACTGGATGTTGGATTTGGAACTGGAGCTGACCAGCTGTTTTTAGTTTCCCCATTAACCATCTGTCATGAAATTAACTCAAAGAGCCCCTTTTTTTGTCTCTCACAAAGATCACTAAGAAGTGAGCAATTTGAAATAGTTGTCATCCTTGAAGGAATCGTTGAGACTACTGGTAAGATTTCGAATAATGCGCATGCTCCAACTTTTAGTCTTTGTTTTCAGTCCTGATATTTTTAGCGAGGCAGCTGCTAATCCTTTCAGGTTGCTAAGCCTGGATGCTCCAGAATATCCTGTCGTATGCTACAGAGCTTCAGTGGCCTTTATCAGCCGACAAGAGACCTCCCTTCCCCACAGGGCTCTGCGTGGCCGATGCCTGAAGCAGCCATCACACCTGAGAAGGGCTGCGCCCTGCCACCCTTTGAGGCACTTTGAGTGAAGACTCTTTGAGTCTTCCATGATTGGAAGTCTTAAAATTCTGCTTACCTGGGATATTTGTATTAATTATCATCAGCACTGTTGTGCTGAGATTGTCACAGATTTGTTAGCTTGGTTAGAACACGTTTTAGCTGTCGGCTCACACGTGTAAGTACTGCCAGTGATGTATGTTCGCACTAAGTAGAACCAATTCTTCTACAAGCTTTACAGCGGTACCTGTCTGAGCATGGAAGACAGCTGTGGTGTGTCTGCACAGCTTTTGTCTAGACACACTATTTGGAGAAAAAATAGCCTAGCCTATAGAAGGAATGGAAGATTAAATTTTTCATTAAGTTTTTCTCCCCCTGTGCCCAATTGTTGCCAGAGAATTCTGTAAGCCTCTACCAAGCAAAATTTCTTTCTCCCAAGCTGACTTGCAGGAAACTATTACATACAAACTGTAAGATTCTTCTTGCTAGTGAGCTAATACTGTCTTAATTTTATGTTTTGCTTTTATCAAAAGCTGTTTGCTCAGTGAGAGTCTGAAATATTTAATCAAATATTTGCATAAAAATCTAGTCAATCAATTAGATGCACTCCAGTGACTGTAGAGAGAACACTCACTCTATTTTTATGATCTAGAAATTTGTAAGCTTACAGGCTACAACTGATTTTTACCCATCAGCCTTATCTTGTATTTTTTGCTCCATATGCCAGTCTGCTCACTCATGTTAGAATGTCGTGCTCTGTTCTCTGTTTCCACAGGAATGACGTGTCAAGCTAGAACCTCGTATACAGAAGATGAAGTTCTTTGGGGTCACAGATTCCTCCCGGTAATGTCCCTAGAAGATGGGTTTTTTCGTGTTGATTATTCTCAGTTCCATGCTACGTTTGAAGTCCCCACTCCTCCTTACAGTGTTAAAGAGCAAGAAGAAAACCTGTCCCTATCATCTCCTTGGAATAGTCCTGTCGACAATAACAAAACCAGAAGAGAACAGGTGTGTTCACTTGACTGTATTGATACTGCAGGAGAGAAAATCAAGCTCCCTTTTAAACTTCAGAAGATCAGCTCAAGAAAGGAAGACCTTCCAAGAAGAGCCCTGAGAATGAGTTCCAGTAACACAGAGAAGACTTGCAGTACTGGAGATCTCTTGAAAATTCAAGAATTAAATCTCATCTCTGATGGTGAAGACAGTGATGACAGGATACAGCTGAAAGCCTTAGAAATAAATGCCGGTGCTTTGACTCAGTCTACCAGCAGCCTCGAGTTACAGAAGAACACTCTGAGTATGTGTGCTCTAGAGATGAAATTGGAAGAAAATTTTCCTGCCAAACTTTGAAAAATGAACTCTGATCGCCTCTCTTAAGGGCAGAAGCAGCAGGGGTTGTTGAAGATAAACTGCGTTTGAGACTGCTGACCTGGAAGAGTTGTCTTACAGTAAAGTCATAATGTGGTTTTGCCACTTTCAGGAGTAATGATCCTTTTTGTACAATTGTTCTGTACAGATCCAACTTAGGTAGCATAATAGAACTTGAGGAGCAGTAAGATGAGACTGATGTGCCAAAGAGATCACTGCCCTAATGATGTTTATCAGCATGCTCATTGCAAATCTACACCGTCTTCCATATATGCAGATGCTTTTTCATGAAGCGAGAACTAGATCCATAGCTGCATAGTGAAATGTTCACAGATCGAGCCAAGAAGGGTGTAAAACCAGCTGAAACACAATTCCGTGCAGCCTGGGTCTTGGACTTCTCCTGATGTGTAGAACAGCAGAGCACAGGAAGAGACTGTGATGCTGCTGGGTCGTAGTCCAGTTCTCTCTGGGTGAACCCGTCGGAAGGTGGCCTTCCCGTGCAGCCTGGTGGGACGCATCCTGCTTTCTCAATGGTTGTGGCGCACCAGCTCCGCAGCCCCAAAATCTCATTCATTGACTTTCGGGTAAAGGAAGCAGTTTGTGAGAGCCATTTTTATCCTTTGGCTCACACGAGCTCTCATAAACTTGAGGCTCATTTATCCTGTCCAAAATTAGACCCCAGCATGCAATCAGGTGGATCACACGTGGAATATTAATGGCCGTATCACCGCTCGCTGTAAAGGGAACTCGAGGGCGGTAGCTCAGCGGAACGGTACGTCTCATACCTCAACTTCATGAAATCTCAGTTTGGAGACTCCTCGTAAGTAAATAAAAGCAAAGTGCTGCATAATGCTCAGTCATTACAGGAACGGACAATAATAGTATGTACGTACCTCAGAGTTTTACTCATGAATGGTAGGGTCTTTGATGTTGCTAAATTTTCTTTTGTTGTATCTGCCTTGTCCATTTATGTGTGGGTCTCAATAATTGTGTAGATTCGACATCTATAATATTACGCAATTTATTGCAGGGTAGAACTCTATTTTAACGTAAATATATTAAGATGCTGAAAGAAAAGGCAGCACAGGTCTGTGACGTGTTAAACGTGCAGCTGGGAGAGGGCTTTCACGATTTTGGGCATAACGGAGCATTCTCTCAAAGTGCTTCTGCTAATAACGGTGATTGACTTTCAACCGTTGAGTTAATAGTTTAGAACATCATCCCTGGAATATGGTAACCTCATCTGTGGAAACTACCAAAATATGTCAGTGAAGATTTACAGAGAGGTGCTGGTATTTTGGTACTCAGTATCTCTTTAAAGCCTCATACAGCATTTTCTAAGTGACTGGCCTTGAACAAGAGGGAAAAATGCTCTTCTGGTGTTAAAACAAATCTTGCATAACTGAAACTAATTTCTCCCTTACTGATCACCAGGAAATGGTGAGAACTCGACTCTGACTGTCTTAGATTTCCTGGGGTTCTACAATTAAGAATAATTTCATGACTAATCAGCTGTTCTGCTGTCCAACTCAATCTGTGAGAGAGGTCTTTTTTTTCCGGTTGGTAGCGAGCAAGCATAACCAGAACTTGCTACTTTGTAAAATGTGATGGTCCCTAGCTCAGGATATGGGGCGCTCACCACTCGCAGAGCACTCCCCAGCAGAAGGATAAAATTCTGCTCTTGTTACGTGGATAGAATTCAGTGAAATTGAAAAGGGTTTGCTGTGGCCATATCAACTTGCAACACAGGCCTTGACGACTAGGACGGAGAGGTAAAGTGGTATATCCAAGCCAGGGATGGCTTGGCTACCATCAATTGCTATTTCTTGCTTTTGATCTCCTGCCTGCGGTGCAAAACTGGAAAATGGTATTTTTCACAGGGGTAGGATTTGCTGCTTCTTGTTCTTGTTTGTTTTCAACATGAATTTCAACATTATACACATGCTGAAATCTGTATTTTCATTTATTAAATGTATTAGTATGGGATATTTAGATGACAGCGTGAAGTCTTGATGATGACTCTCCCCACTCTTTAGAACAGCCAACATTAGTCTAAAATTGAATTGAATCGGCCTTCCATCTCAAGCATTCTTGTGAGTCACTCAGCTCACAATGCTCACAGGCACAATGAGCTAAAGTATCCTGTATCTGCTTTTCCAAATAGTTACGTGAAAGGCTCTTCCGCACATGTTATGCAACTGTCAGACATGTAAGGCGTTAGTATTGTGTGCTGTGCATTCTACAGGGTGGTCCTTAAGCTGTTTTCAGTGTTCCCAGTTCTGGGCCGCTCCTTTAGCTCCAAAGTAGATTTAGTCGTGGCCTCCTGAGACTTTTCGGGAAACCAGTCTCACTGCTAAGCAGAATCTTCAAGCTCTAAATGTATTATTATGAGAGCTCGCAAGCCACATGATGGATTTCTGCAATGCCTGTTGTGCAAGACACACAAGTGCGATCAGAGTTTTTTCCTTTCAAATACCAGAAGTGAATTCCATCTCCAAAGGAAAAAAGCTTGAGGGAGGCCAGTGGCTGCTGCGTGACTTGCCACGTCAAGGGCAATGGCTGGAGCTGACCCCCTCCCAGCTAATGAATGTCCAGTAGCAACTGTTCAGGGCTCACAGAAGGGGAGAGCATAATGGCATCAAGTCCTGTGGAAGTCTTGGTCCCAAGTGTTGTTCACGTGTAATAATTAATAAACGATTGTTTTACTCTTTGTACTCATGGCTGTGGCTCCTACAGTCCCTTTGATTCAGTAAGCACCTGTGGCAGTGCCCGAGGGAAGGAGGTTATGGTGTCTGAGGGGTGGGAGCTGGTCCCAAGATCTCTCGGACCCCTTTGAGGTCACTGGGGGTTCCTACAAAGCCCCAGTGCCATTCCTAACGCTGTGGGAAATTTCCTTTGCATTGACAGGGATGCTCAAGGCTGTTGGTAGCATTTGCCATCATCCAGGGGCTAGCCAGGGCCCCTTCAGGGCTGCATGGTGTCCCCAAGTTGCTCCTGGCTCAGGGCTGGAGGGTGTTGGGGGTGGCGGGGGGCAGTTGCACGTAGACGTGCGGGGCTGTCCCGGCCCTAGGGCTCACTCTGGGGTCAGTGGGGCTGCAGGGCCATCGGGATCTGGTCAGGGCTGTGCTAAAGGTGAGTCCCAGGACAAAGTAAAGCTATATGGGGGATCTTTTAGCTCACTGATATTTCTACCATAAATGAAACTTCTAAAACAACTAAAATTGGGGGAGGGGAGTGGTGATGATGTCCCCCAGATGTCACCATAAACTCATTGGTGGGTGGTGGTGTTGCAGCAGAAGAGCAGGTGAATGGGGCTATCATGGGGAGCCGGGGGTCTGGGTCTTCAATGGGGAAAAGAACCCCAAACCCCACCACGTTTTGGCTCCAGGGAAAGCCAAATTTCCCTCGAGTCGACAAACCCACAAGTACCAGAGGGTGCTGCAGACCGGCACTGCGCATGCGCAGTGGCGCGGTTTGACGCGTGTGCTACCGGGTATTGTAGTTCCGAGAGTGCGCATGCGCAGTGACGGCGCCCGTCGCCCTCGCTGCTGCCACCTGGCGAATAAATTTCGGTACTGCAGCTCCGGCGCCGCTCTCGCGAAGCGGGGCGCGTTCCGTAATGCTCGTGCTTCCACCCGGTGGCCAAACCGCGGTACTGCAGCTCTGACGCCGCGCACGCATGGTTTCGTGCCGGTGCTCCACGTACCTTTCCCCGGTAGCGGCGATGCGATGCTGCGGTGCTTGCGGGGTCAGTTCCGCCGACCCCGTTGCTGCCGACCCGCGTGCGGCTCGGCACACGCAGCTTGGG